AATCTATAGACAAAAGTCATAAAATCAAAAGTCCTATAAATAATATATGTTATATATTTTGCTGAAGAAAAGAAGTTCCTCAACATTCTTTAACTTTTTTACCTTACTCTAATTTTCTAAATACTTTTGGGGAAAAAAAGTTATATTGGATTATATGACTTTATAAGTAATGCAAATTCATAAAGTATTATTATGGAATTGTTATTTATTAGAAATGATATTCTGTCACTTTAAAACAAGTAAATTTTTTATGCATATTTTGATGATTTTTTAATTAATATTTTAGTGATAAATTCATTAATTATTATTCTGATTGATTTTGTGAATAAAGCACAATCATGACATGAAATAGAGTAGGAGAAAGATGTTTAAAAAAAAACCAATTACCACTAAATTATTTAAATTATTATTAAATCTCTTTATATGCTTATTGTTACATACTATTACTAAATTTGTCAATCGCCATTGCTACCGTTCCAGTTTTGTTGGGTTGGTCTATTAAAATATAGGTATTGGAACAGGCTGGATTGGGAATCTTACAGACCCATAAAATAATTGGACAAGACTAAGAAATAATATTATAATTTTTTTAAAAATTAAAAATTAAAAAGAAGAGTCGAAACATTCCTCGCTGCTTGCCTTATAGACAGTAGCATTAATTACTTAATATGATTGACACCAATACTGCAATTAGGGCTGGGCATGGTACGGTATTGTAATCGTACTGCAATCAAATAATGGTAATTGTTTTAAGTGGTAATAAAAAAAATTATTATTTTTATATCAATTGATAATTTTTTAATAATGACGGCCAATAATTTTTAATGGTAATGAAACTTACTTTACCAATACTATATCATATTACCGTCTTTAAATTTATTTTCTTCATTACCAATTAATTCAAGTCATCAAAATTTAATCTTAAAAGTTCAAAATTATCTTAAAAATTCAAAATTATCTTAAAATTTTATTTTCTCCATACCGTTCTTTATCATCTTGAAGCATACAAATATATAATTATACAAAACATGCATACATAAAAAAAAAAAAGAGAACTAGCAACAATTGAAAACTTTGTAGAATAAAAAAAAAAAAAAAAGAGGAAAAAGTTTTGAATGAGTGGTAAATTTGATAATCATATGGTAAAAATAGTAATAACCTCCAATACCAATACTGTACCACAAGTATAAATGGTATTATCATATTACCATTTAGATTTACCATATAATAATTTATCATACTGTTTCCATTAATAATGAGACGATACAATGATAATTATGACATTTATGGTATAGTAACCATCCCTAACTGCAATTGTGATCTGTGCTATTCTCATTCAGCAGTAAAGATCGAGATTTTAGGCTTTAAGTCATCTGTCATCTCACCATGTAGCCTGTATTTGAGATTTAGGAAATATTTTCGAGGATATGTTAAAGATATTTTGATATGTAATTACCCCAGGTCGTCAATAAAATAACAAGGGCAAGATTAGTATTTTTTTTTATTTCATTTTTTTATTTTTTTGGCACACTTAATTGGGTCTCTTCTTTTTTGAAAAATCTCTTTCAACTCAACTTAGAATTCAAATTTAAAATTTTTAAATTGAAATATTAAGTTTTTGAATCATTTTAGTTATTATTTTAGAAACACGTTTTATTATCCCACCAGTTCAAGTATCCTTGGGTGGACTTTCCTTCTAAAGCCTTAGGAGTTGGGCTTGTGTTAATCTTTATAGCCCAATTAGGGTATTGAACCATTGTCCCAACAGCTTGGATGGGGACGAACGGACTGCCTCCATTTCACGACATCTCTTCTATCCTCATTTCTTATACAGTTGCAACTTGCAATTACTGCATGCAGGCAGGGTTGAATTTGGGTTTTTCCTATCTTTTAATTTACATTTTCATATTTAGGTCTCCTTTTCCTCTAAATTTGTTTTGCAGCATTCTCAGAGTTAAATAAATTCCCCTAAGTTTCCAGCGCCGAAGCTACCATCTTGCTATTAATTCAACTCTTTGCAATCCCAACCTTGCTTCCTTAACAGTTCTCTGTTTGAATGCGGTGGGAGTTCCTGGTAAGGCTATTCAGTATATCTTTTCCTGCTGCCCATTTCTTCAAGAGCTAAGTTTGACAGCTTCAGAAGAATCTCTTGTGCATCTTGGCCATTAAAAAATTGCTGGCTATGCTACTGTACCCTCCTCGTCATCTTGGCCATTAAATTTACTTTACGAAATTAATAAATGGCTAAAGTGATTCCATAAATTTTTTTT